GTTAGTGTAAGTTGATGGTTAATTCATATGAAAAATTATGTTGAGACCTCAGGTGAACAGTCCTTAGCACACAGTTTAGGTTGTAATAATATACTAATAAGACTCACTACCCGGTAATGCACCAAAAAAAAAAAAAAGGTAAATTAATCTCAGAAGGTCATTTTCCTAGCTTACGCCCCATATGATTTTGAAGAATTTTAATAAATTATTATAATAAATTTTTGGAATTAATTTTAAAATTAAATTGAAATTATTAGGTTGATTAAATTTGTAAATCAAAAAATAATTATTAAACTTTTTTTTATAATTCTAATATAAGGATCAAAATGATTATTTATTAAAAAATTATCTATATTTATTTAAATATTTGATATTTATCATAAGAAATAATAAATGTAATATTCCATTTATTATTAAATATATTAATTCTTTATAAATATTTTATCAAAGATATCTTTTAAATCTTTTGAATCAATGTTTATATTAGTAATATATTGGTAAAGTAATTCTTCTGCACTTATTTTATTATATATTGAATCTCCAATTTTTTTTAATTAAAAAGTATAGCATAACATTGAATTATATCTTAACAAAATTTCTAATAGGCAATTTTAATAAGATTCATAGATTTATATATAACTTACATAGGAATTTTCATAAATAAGTTATGTGAATATTATTAATATTTTTAATCTTATATATGTATATTAAGATTTTATTTTTATAATAATTATATAAAGATTTAAAATGTAAAAGTCTAAGGCCTTCAATAATTTTTAATTATATTCTGTTCTTTAATTTGCATAAAGTCAGATTATTATCACTATCTTTATGAATATCATCTTCTTCATCATCCTAATAACTAATAATAATATTATAATTACTATCTTCATCTTTTTTAATATTATTGTCATTATTATCCATATTTTTCGTTATCTGAAATTATTGTCAATATCTTTAATATTCTCAATATTCTGATCTTCCTGCTCTATTCTTTTGAGTCAATTTTATTAAATGAAAATTATTGCAGAAAATCAAAAACTATTCTATTGGGAATCCCAGTTAACAACCCACCATTTTTATACCTTAAATTTGAAAGGACAACTTGATTAGAGGTCATTTTGGCCAGTCGTTAATTTGGCCGATGCTGATCTCCAAATCTATTGTCTACAACCACACTTTATTTAATAAAAAAAAAATTCAACAATTAAAGCCACATTGTTTAGCATAACAAAACATTAAGTATTTTTTATATTAAATTATTAAATTCCAAAAATTTTTTCTTTTCTTTACCTTTTTTTTTAGCATATGCGAGTAATAAACTGAGACTTTCGAATTTATTCACCGTATAATACTATCCTAAACACCACTTGTTTAATACCTTTATTAAAATACTCGGCCATGATTCAAAGCAAGAATCTAGGAGTATTTGGTTGATATCAAATGGCAACAAGTTCTGGCAAAAATCACTCGTTATAAATAAAATTTTCAAAAAAATACACCATTTAAATATAAAAAATATTTATTAATATAAATTCAATAATAAATTTCGTGGTTATGTAATTATTAATACGATTACAAATTTCATATACAATAAATACAAAATAACAATACAGTCGCTGTGTAATAAGAGTGAATATAACTAACTATTTTTTATTACTTGAAACACTTCGTAATCATCGATACCATAATCTTTAGGAATATTAATATCAAGATACGTTTGACATCTAGTATACCATTTTCCATTGTTCGGAGACGTAATATCACTATTTCGGCCGAAACATGGTCCATAATAAATGTAACAACAAATAGCATGTTCCTCTTCACCTTTAATTACTCTGCCTATACTACCGGTTTTAACATCATTATAATCAGTAAAGTAACATATAAAACTATCTGATGTAGATTTATAAACATTTTGGTCATTCCAGTCTAACGGATTATAACCTCCAACGATTTGGTTTGAATCTTTAATTTTCGCAACAACGATAGTAGCTCCCTTGTCATCACATTTAATATGAAAGTTCTTTGAATTCATTCCATCTCTACTAGCACGGTAGAGCAATTTGAAGTTATAAGGAATATTTTTTGAATCATCAATTAAATCATCTTTCCGATCAATCCAATTGGCATATAAAGCAAAATGTTGAAATTTAATTATATTCGAAACATACTTTTGCCTAAGAGGCAATATATCAACATTCAATTCCCGATTTGGGGTCATATGAAATGCAAAGATGTTTTTGATCAAATTATTTGGTAATAATTCTTTAAAAGGATATACCTTGTCTAGAAAATTATCTGGTGTAATATGATAAAATCTTACTAATGGAATAAATCTATTAAGAACTCTTTCCATCATGGTGAATTCTTCCTCACTCCATTTTGCAACGTCTTGTGAAATAGTAGGGTTTTGTGCCATGCCCCATCTAATTAAATTATCCCATATAATATTTTCATCTGAATCTAAATCATCTTGTTTCAAAAGTAATTCCAAAACAGGTGCTTTTAAACTAATCAATTTATCGGAATTGTTAAATAATAATTCGGGTTCTTTGCAAATCTTTTTAAGACAAAAATTACAAAGTTCTGAGAATGATTCATGTTGATAGACTATTTCAAGTATTCCTATAGGATCATGGTTTAAAAATTCGGATTGATTTTGAATTAAATACTTTTGAATACAAGGGATTAAAGATTGTATGTTAAGTTCGTCTAATATCACTAAAAGTTTTAGTATATCATGACCTTGTAATGCCGTCAAATCAATTCTTCCACAATAAATATATCGTATTACTATTTTAAATAATAAGGAGGAAATATTGGGCTTTTTAAAAATCAATTTTCCATTCTCTTTCTCAGCCCACTCATTTGAGAATGCTGAGCGAAAGTATTGAGACCTAGTACATAAAATAATTGAGTGCGCATGTATTACTTCTTCATTTTTATTTTGACCGGCAAAGATAATAACATCATGTCCCTCGCCTGTTTCAAGTAATCTATCGTAATCATTAGAAATTTCTTGCAAATGTTCAAAAGTCATTTTTTTTTGAAAAATTTTTTATATGCGGAATGAAGATTGTTATCGTAAAGTATTGTAGAACAGTATTTAAATCATATTTCACGTGATAAAAAGAAAATTTCATCCTAGTGTGACAAATAGGATCGGCACCATTTTTCATATCCAGTAGGTTGATACTCAATGAAAAGAATTTTGTCTGTGATACGGGTGGACAATTTATTATAGTTGTTGTAATGCAAAGTTGTTACTTATGATTTTAATCAGTTAATTAATACATAATGCGTCATAATATGATCGATTAATAATCACAACGTAGCGTCCTAGTCCAAAAAAGAGTGTGGGACATATGTACATTTATTAGCTACTTCACCTATAATTACAAAAAAAAAAATACTTTATCAATTATGGAGAGCTTATTTTGAGAAGAATATCAAATGGTACAATCGTTCAGGTTATGCTAAATGTAATTATTGTAATGTAAAATTTGATAAATAATTTACTTCTGAATGTCGTATGTTAAATTTCTTTAAAGGATGCAAATACATTAAAAAATTAAATCCATGGGATAATTTTTTATAATTATTATATGAATTTTTTTTTTTGCAAGAAGTTTCAAAAAACATTCTTTTATAATCTTTTTATAATCTTCTTTTTTTTGTTTTGACAAAAAAAAAAATAAATTGTTGATATAAAATTACAGTGTGTCAAAGCAAAATTTTTTGTTTATTAAATTCGTCATAATAATTTAAATTAATAAAGCATATAGCGTATTTAATCTATTTTCTAATGATTTTTATTCTACTTCACTTTCTATGATAATGAAATGTTTAAATTACATAAGTTTATAGAGTATGATTTTATTGATTGTTGTCATTACAACCTGTTATGATTTTATCTGGAGAGTATTCCAAGGAAATTTAATATGTTGTTTATCATTGATAACATCATTATAATATTATCAAAGAGAAACCAAGATTGGAAATCTGAAATAGTGAATTAAGGTTGAAAACGCATATGTTGCGTTGTAAACAAAAATTACTATCATGAATTATCGCGTCAGACATAGCAAACATACAAAATTGAAGGCGCAGTGAATCGACAAAGATATAGCGTTATTTCTATGCTCTTCTATAAGGCATTACTTCGTTACCCTTTTTAAAATGAGGCCAATGAAATAGCAGTATCCCGGTATTAATTAACCTAATATTGTTATATCTCGAAAAAATATTGCACAAAATTATTTGGCATTGATCATTACTGCATTTTTAAACAAGAAAGCTTATACTTCATTAATACAAATTTTATTAACGAATTGAACGTTGGAAATTGTTATATAATATCCTGTTTACTATATTATCGTCAAAGAAAATGCTTGCAAGAAAGGAGTCACCTATACTCTGTATCTCGTACAATTATGTGAATAAATTCACACGTGATAACTCCTTGTATTCCCTTTCGCTTAATTCTCCGTGTAATTTTTTCTTTCGCTCACTCAATCATATGATTGCAGAACAAAGCGGCGCAGTAATAATACACTTTTCTAAAAAAATAAATATATATAATCATTTATAGATATAAAGTTCTAGGGAGATTTAAAAATTAGAAAATCAAATAATAAACTAAGATTATACAGAAACTTCATTGCAATTAATAATACATGAATCATTAGAATAAACCGACCGCGAATAAAATGAACAAATTTATAAGTTGTGTCTTTTGTACAACCACATAAAAATTGATCTTTAAGATCTTTATATTTACCAAAATGATTATTAGTGCTACAACTACACGGTAGTGTCACATTATTAAAAAACCAATAACACAACATATTGATGTTAACAAATTTTTTTTTCAAATGTCGTTCTTCAAGTATAAACGATTCCGTAAAAATCTTTATAAAATAATATATACATTTCTTAAAAAAATTTCTTCACTTATAATTTCTTAAAAAAAAAAATAACTTTGATTTTTAGATACCATGAAGCCATTTTCATTAATCACAATTTACTTGTCTTTCGCCCTAACGCTCTTCTCAATTCCATCGATATTATCACAATGCATAGATCAACCATTCCCCACTCAACCAAATAAAAAATTATCAGTAAAGTGTTTAACAGTAAAGCAGCCAAAGAAAAAATTAAAATTCCAAGTATCAAATGATACGGACATGATTGAAATTCGATTTGATTGTAAACTTAAAAATGAAACGTTATGTGTAAAAGCAAAATCCTCTTTTGAGGAAGTTGGTCGTTTAATAACATCAGCTTTAACATTAAATACACAGATTATAGTCAATGCAACGTTTGGTGAAATGTTTGATCCTTCAATATTAGGGTCCGCTAGACCTTTCAGATCAATGCCAATTAAAGATGATGATGGGATTGAAAGATTATATCCACAATCTTTAGTTAAACAATTACAACTTACCTCACATCCTGAATTCGCTCCTGTTGATATTGTCGCTGACTTTAATTCATTAGTTGATCTTTGGTTTGAAGGTGATCCTCCAATCACCAGTAAACAAATTGGATTCTTGGAATTAATTTTACATGAATTGATGCATGGACTTGGATTTGTTTCGGCATGGGGAGATTATTTCCCCAAAGCTGCTACCCCTGAAGTAAATGACTTTATTGAAGCGGAAAATTCTGATTCAAAGGTCATGACTGTTTTTAATGGATTTCAAGAAAGAGCTTTTGACAAATACCTAGTCATACTTCCTGATAATAAAACGACTTCATCTTACATAAACGAATTAAATAAATTTACTGATGGTTCGGCATTTGAAAACTTTGATGATTTTTATGTAAAGTTTATTGCTTCACCGCAATATTTAGTTGCCAAGGAAATATATGGCCATTTTATTACACATAAAGCTCTCGTTTTCAAACCAAGCGTTAGTGAAAACGAAGAAGATATGACTTATTTAGAAACTACTCTAAATCCATTTGAAAGAGGTGAAGTAAATGTTCATGATCAATGAGAATAATAACAATTCAATTACTGGTATAAACTGCTTACATCGATCTCAAATTTTCAGGTTCCAGTATTTCTCATGTTGATAATACGATATATACTAATACAAGCGATTTCTTGATGACGTATCGTCAAGAACATGGTCGAACTCTCAATGATAACATTGGAATAGGTGGAAATTATGACGGAGGTGCTATAAGTTATAAACTTCGACTAATTTTAGAAAGCTTAGGGTATAGTTAATTGATTTCAACCAGTTATTTTGTTAAACATTCAAAAGCTTACACTTCGCTTTATCTTTTAGATATACTATAAAGTACCCCAGCACATCTCTGACTAACGAAACAGACCAAGTTACCAAAAATTCAATCCCACCTTCTCTGTCGATAAGAAATTTTACATATAACTCGTCAATCGCATACATTATTGGAATTGTTATGATTATAAATGCTTTAAATTACATTTAAATTTATAATTGATAATATTATATAGTCAGATAATAATTTAATTGGAATTGTGTAAGTACTCATATGGTCTATTTGTTATTTATTAATGATTTATTTTATTTAATTTAATTCAAAACAAAGAAAAGATTCTTGTAAGCCGTTAAAATAGACTATTTAATATGATGATAACAAACTAATAATACCTTAATGATTAAAATGACTATTTAAAATTAAATTAATATACCAAATATTTATTATGTTTCAAAAATTTTTATCGAACACTACTTTTTTTGTTCGCAGTTATTTATTTAACAAATGGAAGAATTAACGCTTGACTAGAAAGTAGAAGCCTGCATCAGGTTAATATATAGATGGGATAATAACGATAATAATTCAAGTTCCTCTTTACTTCTTTTTTATTCTTGAGTTCTAGAGATAAAAAATTATGTTTTTGACAAGTAATATAAAATGTATCAGTACAATGTTTTCTTTTTAACTTGTTTCTGATTTGAAGTAGATTATATTATCACCTCACAAGAGTTTCACTCAACTTTTTGTTCTGAAAGTAATATTAGCAGTGCATCAACTTTTCATTTATATACATGCCGATTTCTCCATCAGCAATAATTAGGGACCTGAGCAAGATTATGAGCGATTAACAGATGGCAAATCCAGTAATTTTTCAGAGTTGTTAGCTTGAACGGTTCGTCGTTAAGTTAACTAAGATTATTTGCTAACAGGAAGTTTAAGTGCGTTTAAACTATGGAAGAAATAAACACGAATTAATTATGTTGAAGGGTCAGATCGTCTTTATCGATATAGATTCAAAGAAGTATGAAATTGCATATTGAGCAAAGATATAATTGTTAAGAGATAAATGTTATTGATTTATTAGAGAATTGTAGCGACTCTGCCATTTAT